GAAGTGGAGACAGACGGGAAGAAGGCGAGGGTGTGTTTCTTAACAAGAGATATACTGGAAGAGAAGACAGACAGGAAGAAGGCAAGGATGTGTTTCTTAACAAGAGATATACTGGAAGTGGAGACAGACGGGAAGAAGGCAAGGATGTGTTTCTTAACAAGAGATATACTGGAAGTGGAGACAGACAGGAAGAAAGCAAGGATGTGTTTCTTAATAAGAGATATACTGGAAGAGAAGACAGACAGGAAGAAAGCAAGGATGTGTTTCTTAACAAGAGATATACTGGAAGAGAAGACAGACAGGAAGAAAGCAAGGATGTGTTTCTTAATAAGAGATATACTGGAAGAGAAGACAGACAGGAAGAAAGCAAGGATGTGTTTCTTAATAAGAGATATACTGGAAGAGAAGACAGACAGGAAGAAAGCAAGGATGTGTTTCTTAACAAGAGATATACTGGAAGTGGAGACAGACGGGAAGAAGGCAAGGATGTGTTTCTTAACAAGAGATATACTGGAAGAGAAGACATCATATAAATAATCTGACCTGGAGAGAAGTAACACGGTCTTCAGTTGTTGGTAGGGCTTATGATCTTTGTTCCTCAATGTGACCTGATGTGTTTATTTAAAAGGTCAGCAACTGACCTGTATATATAAAAATTTGTTTTTCAAGCAGAAAGTTCTTGATATAGGAACATATATATTTATATATGTAGGTTTATATATTTCCTTAATGACTGAGAAAAGTAAATTGAATTTACACCTAATTTTGCACGAGGAACTGCATATTAGAATATATAATAAGAACTACCTATGCTACTAAATCATATTATAAGATATTACACCAGTGTGTTCATTAAGATAATCAGTAACAATAGTTGAGCAGTCAAGCGAAGTATTTCAACAGGAAAGTAATGAGAAACATACAGATTAGAAAGACAAATACGACTTGCAATAACCACAGGAAGACATAGTTAACCAGAAGAAAGAAAGGTGGGACAAAAAAGAAAGGATGTTTAACTACGAGGTAAAATTGCCCAAAGAGGGCGCTTTAAATAAAAACAAATGATTGAATATTTATAATAAATAATATAAAATTGTTATTTTGAATGATTTGTCTCCTTGAGGAAGTAACCTATTGAAGATTGTATCAGAAGAAGAAGAAGAAGGGTGAGGGCTGGCCCTATGGTAGAGCTATGGATTAAGGAACCGGCGTGCTGGATTCGAATCCGTGCGATACTAAAGGATTTCCCCTCACTCTGAACTGAGGGTACGTTATAAGAGTGGCAGTCAATCCCTTAGCGTGGATGGAGGTAGGATGCTGTTGACTTGGTCAGTCGTACAGATCACATATCATCTAAGGACTAACAAAAACCATTGCTAAATGTGGATCAAAGAAGGATGATCCAGATCCCTTTGGAGCTGTGTCCTCAGTCGTTGAGTAGACTCGTTTTAATGGCCATGATTATACATTATTGGCCGACATCAGGATTTGCCTTCTAGAGGTTCTTTTAAAGTGCAAAACTGCGCAGAAATCTCATCTTGTAAGATTTTTAAACCTACATTCCAGAGGCAACAAGGGCAACATCATTACGAACTACTTTGCGCACTACTTTACAAAGGCAACATCCTAACGAACTACTTTGTGCACTACTTTACAAGGGCAACATCCTTACGAACTAGTTTGTGCATCACCTTACAAGGGTAACATCCTTCTGAATTGTCTTGTACACATTTGATTGGGATATGTGGAACACATTAATAGTTACTTTCAAGGTTCTGGAAGATCAGCCTGTGAACTTCTGCAATGGCAATAGCAGTCCTACCATGGTAAGATGTTTTCAGAAGGTTTCACACCTTTATATGAGAGTCCTGATGGCAGCAGCAGTCCTACCATGGTAAGATGTTTTCAGAGGGTTTCACACCTTTATATGAGGGTCCTGATGGCAGCAGCAGTCCTACCATGGTAAGATGTTTTCAGAGGGTTTCACACCTTTATATGAGGGTCCTGATGGCAGCAGCAGCCCTACCATGGTAGGATGTTTTCAGAGGGTTTCACACCTTTATATAAGGGTCCTGATGGCAGCAGTCCAACCATGGTAATATGTTTTTAGAGAGTTTCACATCTTTATATGAGGGTCCTGAGTTTCCATTGTAGATGTTACTCATTATGATGTAGATAGTTGTTTTTGAGGTTCGTGTGCCCGAGGCTTTGAACCTTTTTGCTACACATCACCAAACACACCTTTTCCTGGAAAGGGCTGTGGTGTGTGCATCCAGACATAAGGTTTCACTTGACGGTATTTCGAATCGGGAATTCGTCGTGAACCATATATAGAAGTGTTGTAACATGTCGTCCGTGGCGCCATGGCTCATATCGACTTGTTTGTGCACAATGGGCTATCTGTGCTGTGCCCACCATGACTATCGAAACATGATTTTTAGCGTTATAAGTCCGCAGACACATCGCTGAGCCACTTGGGGGCGCTCGTATTTACATTGCCACGACCTGTGCTGATATACATAGATCATCCTGACAACATACGATTAACTCGTTGTAGGGATAATTTAGAATTTATTTTAGTCGTCGAAGTTTTAATGTCGTCGTAAGTGACAAATTTGATGTCCATTTTGTTCTTTTTTGCTTTTATAATATGCCAACAAGAATAATCTGGAAAATTACGATGTGCGGCTGTAGGGCCTGGTACAGCCTAATGGTTGGGGGCACTAGACTCGCCATATGCGGACCGCTAGTTCGAATCCAGTCACCGAACATGCTTGCCCTTTCAGTTGTTGGAGCGTTATACTGCTACAGTCAGTCCCACTTCTTATTAGTAAACAGAGTAGCTCAAGAGGTGGCGGTCGGTGGTGTTAACTAACTGCCTTCCCTCAAGTATATCACTTCTAAATTAGGGAATGTTAGCCCTCTAGTAGGTTTGCGCGAAATTCAACAGACAAATCTAATGTCTAACTTGTTTACTGCCACCTGATTGATTTTTAAAAGAATGAAGTAATATTAATTTAGTATTTATTTGTATCATAGTGAGATATGTTACTAGTTTTCCAGATTTTGTAATAAATTAGCTACAACTTCGTGTGTCTGTTACATAACCCGAATTTAATCAAATACTACTCCACTTCTAAAAGTGATAATTTCCCGCATACGAGTGTGGTATTTCTTATATTCGTACTGGCGTAGCACGACTTCAAAAATGAACAGTAAAATCAACAAACCTTTCAAACACGCATTTCTTGAAGAATATAGAATTTCATTTACTTTCTTCATTAACTTCTTAACAGCGAGCGTTATTTTGTTTAACGTAGCAATCGATGACGTTCGACCAATATTTGCTGCTCTTTTTCGTTTTTTTTGTTTTTTTTTTGAGAAGCGTCTGGGCGACAATGAGCGCCTCCTATTCAATTTTGGGTAATTGGCCTCCTCAGCAATTCCACGAAACTATTTAAGCAAACGATAAAAAAGTTCAGTGTTAGTACAATAAGGAGATTCTAAAAAAAGTGTTCAAATCTGACAATATGAGGCAGCACTGTTTGAATGATGTCATTAACAATAAAACCGAGACACACTGAACGTCGTGATAAAGATATTGTTAAAGAGGATAGGTTTAATCGCCGTTGTTTTGTTTGATACTCTAAACCTTAAAATTTATCCGGTTTGATGAAAAGTTGCGAATGTTGACCGGTAGAAACGAATTGGCGTGTTTTGAATTTCGCGCAAAGCTAGCCGTCCCTAATTTAGCAGTGAAAGACTAAAGGGAAGGCAGCTAGTCATCACCACCTGTTGCCAACTCTTTGGCTACTCTTTTACCAAAGAATAATGGGATTAACCGTCACATTATAACGCCCCCCCCCCACAGCTGAAAGGGCGAGCATGTTTGGTGGGAGGGGGGGATTCGAACACGCGAACCTGAGATTGCGAGTCGAGCGCCCCCTAACCACCTGTACGAAATAGCAGAATTATTTTCGATACGACAAAAAATATATTTATCTAAAACAGATAAAAGGATTTGATATCTCCATGAATAATGCTGTGGCAGCCTTAGAGGGGGTGCAAACCCCCATACTTTTTTTTTAATAAAACCTCTGTATCCAATGTGTAAAGACGCAATGGATATGAACAGAATTTGAAGATTTGTGGGGGTTTAAGTATGAAAAACTTGATGATATGGAGAATTTGAAGAATTGTGGGGGGTTTAAGTATGAAAAACTTGATGATATGGAGAATTTGAAGAATTGTGGGGGTTTAAGTAT